CTCGCGGTTTTCTTCCGCCGTTTGGGCGCGCGCCAGCGGTTTCAAATGAACCCTTTATGACGTGGGAGCTAAGTATCAGCTCACTGTATGTATGAGGCTGCTAGTACGCCGCGATGAATTTTTCATGGCCCACATACGACGCGCTGGGAGCGCCGTCCGACGCAGAAGGGCGTCGACAGCTCACACACGTTCGCCGGCCGAACTGATCGACGCCGCTCAGAAAGTCAACAGTGATCCTGCATGCATTTAGAGCCTGCAGAGCATTGCGGGCTGCAAACCTGTCTACTGGAGAGATACTAGTAATGTATTGCGCTGTGTTTTTGCTGCTGGATACAAAATGCTGTATGCGGGATAAAAAATTCAGTTCGATGACGCTGTGAGGTGATAAATCGTTTGTTTCGACTGCACAAGGGATTGTCGACTTGTTTTGTAATTCGTTATGAGACTTTGTACTTCACGCGAGAGTGATGTTATCCAATGGCATTCTAAAGTTTGGAGATACGTCAAGCAGATCTTCATTTATAGCTGTATTGTTATATCCTTCTGTCAAAATTTCAGTGATTCATGAACAATCACATATACTTCAAATACATTTTATCAAGGAGTAATGATGAATTAGAAGTGAAATAAAAAATCTATTGCCGGTACGCGAAAAATTCCTGCGAATTCCCAACGTAATATTTTTATTCATTCATTCACATTATTTACTGGCGATGTTTTTAAGAGATTATGTATTTCCAATACCATTTAAAAATTATTATATTTTTATTTGAAGCGACAAACCCCGACGTGCTCAAGAGAACTTTTGATGACAATAGTTATATAAACTTTGACGAGGCGCTGTCGATTTTAATTGGAAGGAAATAATAATAATAGTAGTTGATTTAAGTGGATATTGCATTTATACAGTTTGAAGATGTTGATGGGGTTATTTAAGTGTGGAATGTTGTATGAACAATTTCCATAAGTGAGAGTTGTGTACCTTCACACACACACACACACACACACACATATGTATATATGGCATTCATTAATCGAATTTATGTCACGCCTGTGAGTTATGGTTTCTCCTTGCAAATTCAGGTTCTGAGCGGAATTTGTTATGAACAGATGGGTTGTGCGCTCTACTCAACACAGCCCGTTAGCCATCTTACCAACCTCCACTCTTTTCCTTATTCATACCGCTCTCATTTCAAAGATATGACGTAGGTTTTCCACGCAATGAGGAAGTATAAAAAACTGTAGACCCCGCTGGATATTTCAGCCTCTCTGAGCTTCATCTGCCACCGTACTTCACCGCATCTTCAACTTTTTTTTATGTACATTCTTGACAACGTTCACATTTTTGTTCCCCTCCAAATTACATTTCATCTTTCCAGATTTACTTTTGCTAACTTTACTCTCGTCACTCTTGACATCCTCTTCCCTAACTACTTTTCCTTCCCATCACTTTGCCTACCTCCCCATTGTCTCGAATAGCGAAGATATTACCTTTTTTACTGCAACTATCAGTAGCATTTGGCATGGCATTTTTCCTCATGGCTCCCGTCCATGCTGACCACTAACCTTCTTAACAAAGAGAATTACATGTCGCGGTTTTCCTGTTCAACTTTCCTCTCTTTCTTTCCAACAATAGCGCCTGCGCACCTGTCGAGCAAAGGTTAACTGCACGTGGTGTCCAAACAGGGGACCTTCTGCCTGCTTATTTTGATCTTGCTCGTTGCACATACTTTCATTATTAGCGTCTTTTTTGCTTGCGTTTGGTTGCATCAAGTAATAAATTTATCGTTTGCTGAAATGTTTGTCTTGGGTTTCTTTTAGTTGGGCATAGTTGACTTATTTTTTGGAAACAGGCATTCCAGACACTATGCTAATAACGAGGTAATCCCCCATGCATAATGTATTTTCCCTTAGAGCCACGCCACGTCACGTTTTTCTCTTTTGTAAAAGATCCCCCTGGCGAGCCTGCCACTTAAAACGAAAAACACCAGCAGGTTGTGATTTATGAGTAACTTACGCAGCAAAAGAGTTACCGGAGCCTTTATATAAAAACATGACGCAACGATGAGAGCGGCGGTGCGGCCTCGAGTGGCGCGGTGCGACATGGCGCGGCGCGGCGCGGCGCGGCGCGGCGCGGCGC